AATTTTCCACAGCTCATTTACTTATTGAGAGTTCCTTTATGTAATAAGTTTATTTTTGCCTCGTTCCACAGCAGCCTCTAAGATATCATCCTGTACATCTGAAACACACACACAAGTGAACACGCACAAACGCGCATGCATGTATGCATAGGGGTTCTTATGCCTGGCGTAGCATGCCATCTTTTGATACACTGTGGTACAGAGGGATAGATTTTTGTGGTATTGGTCACACCAGTAATTCCACCGTTGTTTACAGGCGTTGCTTGTAAGAAGAAAGTGGGCAGGATTTGGCTTGTATTTAGTGAGGAGAATGCCACCGATGTCAGTAGTTCTGTTCAGGTTTGTGTTTGAAAAATTAATTTACAAAAGCAACCTCCAGACCTTCGATTCCACCCCTGTTAACAGAGAGTCCTACAGATATTGCAGTTTCTTTCAGGAAAGCAAGTCATGCTTTATTTGTTCACACAAGATAAATGGTTTTGTCCATTTCATCTGATAAAATTTAAGGCCCTGATCCCGTCATGGCTGTGTACTCCAAATGCTGGTTAACGTCTGTGAGCCAATTTCTGCTCAACGTACTCACATGGATATCAGCTGGCCTGATTGATCTGACTTCCAGTTACAAATAAGAAGCAAATTCCTTATGGTTAATTGAGTCTTTAATATCGCCATAAAAAACACTGTGAGATCAGAATCAGCTGCAGAGGGACCGTGTACACTCCCAAAAATTTTGCCAGACTTTGCCCAGTGGTGATTCTGGGCATCCAAAGTAACAATTGCAATTTGGCTGAAGGTTGTCCTCTATCAAATCTCTCTGTTACAACACCTCTGTTCAAGAAATCCTGCAGCAATTAAAAAACTCTTACAGTTTCCACCAGATCTGCAGAATTAACTAAAGTGTAATGCAGCAGACTGCTCTGTATACCAAGACACTCTTGTCCTTTCTGCTGCTCTTTTCTAGATTTAGCAAAATTCAGCGATGGTGATAAATCAATTTTATTTTATTTATTTATTTTTTTTAACTTCCAAGGGAAAAAACACTGGTAAAATTATGTTTTCTAGGGAAAGCTGTGTGTGTAAATGAGAAACAGTGGATAGCAGTAGAGTGATCTCCTGTGGCCCTGCTAGTACAAGCTTTCCCCATATTGTCTCCTGCTTTTATATTAATTACAACTTGCATTATCAGCTGTGAGTCTGTAGCCCAGCAAATAGAAAATACTGCCCCTGGAGACCTAGCTTCTTGTATCTATTTTCCATCTCTTTCTATTGTACTCTGCTCAGTATTCACTGCTTTTCTCTTGATAACACTGCTCTTTAACACAATTAGGTAAGAGCAAGAGGAGCATCATATTTGACTCCCAGTTATTAAAACTATTGGGAATAGACATGCGTGCTGTTTACCTTCTGTGGTACAAGTCATTAGTTTAGGTCATATGTGCGTGAACATTTCATCGTGTACAGGCAAACACAAAACAGGTGATTGTATTTTAGCAAGTATCATCCATGCTCTTTGGCATGTTTCTGTAAAGCATATTACTAAACCTTGCAGAAAGATATGAGAAGCTATGCAAATAGTTTGTATAATTCATGTTATCTATTTGCTTTTCTCTTTTTTACAACACAATAACTTAATACAAATTTCATGGGAAAAATGAAATAGAAAATTAGAATTATTACTGAAGGGCTTTGTATCAGGATGGATTTCTCCAAATTATACTGATAAAACGTATCTAGTGAAGCACACTTTAGGTCTGTCATTGTCTTTTTGTTTCGTTTTCTTGATGATGAAGATGTACATATAAATACTTGTAATCAGGCATTTGGCAAGGAAGTTTTCTTGAGGGATGAAAAGTTGGAAACATTTTAGGGCAAGAAAGACACTGCACAATGATTCTAGTCCAATGAAAAAGAATTCTGTCATTTTTATGAGGCTGTAAACTCCACCCCGAGAGTTATTCATCATTTTAAAAATAATATTAGAGCGTAGCTGCTTCCCTTGCTTTTAGACTCTTCCAAAATTCTACCGTTGTCTCTTGTAAATACTCCAGCTAACTACTTCTATTTTTCAAGAAGATTCTGCCAAATTGCTTCCTCGAGAAAACTATGTTGCAAAAAATATATTAAATTTCCAATCAGTCCACCCTGTCTTTCCAAAACCGAATGTACAAACTGAGGTCAGGAACAACTCAGCCTGGTAGGGACAGCAAGTTTTCAGCTGCAGGAAGTCTTATTTATTGAGCCTTTCCAAATCAGCACGTTTCTGAAACATAAAGGCTGGTCTAAGATTTTGAAATACTCTATGATAGGTTTTGGATGGCATTTGCCTTAAAACATAACTGAGGTGTTACCAGTTAATTATTGTAATTTTCTTATGTGTGATAAGGAGCTCCAACAGCAGCCAGCTTAAGAGAGCCTGCAGTGCATAAAATTAACATAACTCACTGTGTTCCCTGAAAAGTTTAGCCTAGGTGAACATGTTGCAATTATTACATTTTCTAAAAGAAGGTTCCAGCCTGGTGTTGTTGGAGAGCTAAACTCATGCTATGCTATTGTTTCTTTTCTTTTTCATGTATTTCTTCTAGCTCTTTATCTGATTACCATCCGGCAAACAGCTGACGCTAAGAGGCTGCAGAGGGCTGAAGAGCTCCTGTCTGCTGTTTGCCTTCAGCTTGAAGCTATTTGAGTGGCTTCCTAACTCAGAGATAAAAAGAGAAGCTCATAGGCACAACTGTGTTTTAATCGAGGCTGTAAAGAGACTTACTCAGTTTTTGCATTTTATTTCCATCTGAACTTTTTGGGAACCTTGTTTCAACTGTGATTTTTTAATTTTTTTTTTAATAACATCTGGGCTTCCTGAACTTTCAAGCCTTCTCACTGTTCTTTTTCTGCATCTTCCCACCTGATTCTGTAAAATGATGGTAAAGCTTTTGTATTTTCTGAAATGAAATTGTGGGGGCTTACAGCATTAATAGGAATTCCAGAGACCTAATTAATTTAACAACAACAAGGAATATAAAATTTCATTGTGGTTATTACTATTTTTCTCTTGTGGGTCTATGTGAGAGAAGGAGATTGGTCTCACAGGTTTTGAAAGGGTGGTGGTTTTATACCGTAAATGCTATTATGCTGTCAATTGTGCTGATAGGTGAAGTGAATTTAAGATTGTGGACTGTCATCTGATCTGCTTATATCTTCCTGCTCTGGAGCCCCATACGTGCGTGCATGTGTGTGTTTGTGTAAGGTGAAGGGGGATTTGGATCCTTCTCACCCTTTGGTCACCTGGAGCTTTATTCAGAGCCTTTTGAAGTCATAGGCTCTTCCCTTTGTCTCTGCTGTGATCTGGGTCAGGCCCATTAGATTTATGTTACTGGGTTTTGCTGCAAGACGTTCTTTGGCAGTTCTATTTTATGTTGCTATAGAGCATGTGGTACTAATCAGTACTAGGAGATTACTTTGAGATGTTTCATTATACATTTGGGGACCTGATTCCAATCACACTTACACTGAATTTTACAATGGGTAAATCAGATGATTTTGTTGAACTTATTCCTACTGCACATTGGGGTAGATGAGGTCAGAATTCGTCCCACTCAAATAATTTAACAAAACTTGTCAATTGCTGCTTTGGGGTTCTCCTTATGTTTTAATAGCCCAATGTTATTTCATAAGGCACAATTTGTATGCAGTCAGACTTAACAAACAATTTTTTTTTGATCGGAAGTTTGGGGGGGGGGGGGGGGAGAGGGTTAGCTTTTGGAGGTTGAGGGGGATTTGTTGTTTGCTTTGGTTTTGGATTATTATAACACGCTTGATTTAAGTTGTCACATGCAGGTGACAAGTAATGCAGGTCCAGCCCCTAGTCTGATCTGTTTCATGTGTTCTTGTTCTCCTTTTCTGCCAGAGGAAATTCCATCTCTTGCCTGCCTTCATGTGGTGCTGATAAAGCTCTTCCTGTACAGTAGAATTCCTGTTTTCCTTTAAGCAACAGCAGGGTATTGGGAATGATCAGGAAAGGGGAGGAGGACAGGAGGAGAATACACTCAACAAAGTAGCGCTAAACTGTAACATTAACTTTTCCTCACTTATCCCTTTAAATAGCAGCTCCTCACTTCAGGAAAGCCAATACTCAATAAATTAGAAAGCTATCATGAATGATGTGAATAAAGTACAGTGGTTGAGGACTTACTTAGCCAAGTTTTACAAACTCTATATGTCTGTCTTCTGTATTCTCTTTTGTCGTGTTTTGTGCATAGTAATATGGAAAGAATTACATAAAAATCGCTATACGTGTTATTTTAGGTAATTACCTGGTGGTTATTCTTGACAATGCTTGTAAGCGAACTGTTAGAGTGATACAGCTAGGAAATATTTGAAATGTGTCACATCAACGTGGTGGTTGGGAGTAAGGAAACATCTTCATGTTATAATGCATTTCAGAAGCAGCTTGCTTTTTTTCCTGCGTCTTTGTATTTGCCTCAACTTTTTTCCACTGCACAGATCAGTGAGAGGATAGGGTGGGAGGGCACGTCCCTCTTTCATACGCATTCTCTACTTCTTGAAAACAGTTTCCCTCCTCTTCCTCTCTCCTCCCATCTCTCATCAGTCTGGAAAAACAAAGTGTGGAGAGAGAGTTTACATGACTACTGCCCTGATGTGAGCACCCAGTACCATAAACTGTGTAGGTTGGTTGGTGTTCTTCTCCAAGACCCCCTGTAGCTTATTAAGGAACATACATATAAATGTGTATATGTTACTATTTTATTTCTACTTTTTTAAACGTGTCCTTTATTTTACTAAATGAATCCTTGTACCTCCTCTGTTTGTCTTTGCTGAAGAATTATTACACTGTGCAAACAGTATCAGTATTTGGCACATTTCACAAATGCTAATGTGTATACTTTTCCCCCCTCTCCTCCCCTCTTTTCCTGGTTTTCTTTCTGTTCTTCATTTGCTGTTGGAATGGGAACTGTGGAAAAAATTCCTTGGCACTCTGACACCAGAATCCTTCATCTTGGAGAGACCACGATGATGCAACCTCAACGCACTCAGCAGGCACACCGGGGCCCTCCAGTGGGGGCCATGCTTCCCAGAGTGGAGACAACAGCAGCGAGCAAGGTAAAAGGTCAAACTTTTTCCCTGTGCAAAGTAGGCATGACTAAAATAACTTCAGCTTTTTTATTATATCAGTACATCTGCCTTAGAGTAAACATGGAGTGGCAGACTTGCAGTATAATCAGCTGTAACTTAGGGAGACGGTATTTCCTTTTCTTAACCCACTTAGCTGCATTTTATTATTATTTCAAAGAAAAATATCTAATCTTCAAACAAGCTTTGTAATAACAATTGATTAGTTCTGCCAATTCCTTTACAAATTTGGTTATCTACAGTTTATTTTTGTGTGGTGTAAGTAAATATAATGACAGACATACTCCCCAGCTGTGTTGCAGTAGTTTGAGCTGGGCTATAGACAGAGAATTTAACCTATAGTTTTATATGGGGAAAAGTTGCCTGCATAATGTTATCAAACCGCTAATTTGAAGTAGGTACAAAACTCAAACAGGACAGAAAATGTTTCTTGCAATGTTTACTTGTACGGACTCGTGTCTGCTTCTGAAAATCTTGATTCTGAATAGTAAATGGAGATGTACCTGAACTACAAAACCTTTGTTGTGTTTGTGCAATGAATTCCTCTCCAGGGTTCTGGGGGTTTGATTATTATTTTAGGTGGTCTTGTTTTATTTCCTATTGCCTTGCACCTTGTGTGTGGTCATCTGCATCCATGCTGAGTAAGTGTCAAAAGCTGTCATCTTGATACGATAGTGTTTTACACTTGCCTGTTAGAAGCATTAGTGGCTCCAGCAGGTGTGAGTCTCAAGCCTCAAGAACTAAAGAGTGGGGTAAAGATGGGCTACTGCCACACATGGACTCTTGCTCAGAATGATGATCTTTAAGAGCAAAGCTTGTGGGATCCCCTCTTGTTTTTTTCTTTGTTGTTACACTAAGCCTCAGCTGACAAATATGGCACTACCCTTACAAGGCCTTATGACTCGCTCCCTCCACCTGCATCTGTCACATTTTGCCACTGCTGTTGCCCTCACTTGGTGGTCACGCATATACCATACAGCCAGGTGACAGATGTGTGATCCCGCTAGCTGTGTGGGAGGAGCAGAGTGGAGTGGCCTTCAAGGTTGCAGGCCTGATGTTGCAGGGGCTCCCATGTGGTTCATGCTGTGCCTGGATGGCTACACTGCTGCAGCATTTTACCTCTCTCATGAGGCTGCTTATGGCAGGGAGCTGCCCAATCTCCCTCACAACCAGTTGTCTCAAGTGCAACCTGTGATATTTGTCTCTCAGATGGCAGTTTGGGTTTGTCTCCTACGTGTACAACTTGTTTGTGCACTATTGGCGATAGAGGCAAAGGGTGTGATCTGTGTCCAATGCGAGTTGCTTAGGACATGTCCTGTGTGGCTGATCCAGAGCTGCACAAGGCCCAACATGAACTCGTGTTGTTCAGTGGCTTGTGCAAAGGACAGGTCACTGACTGCTGAGTGGCAAAATGGCATTATGCCTACAGGCTGGCCATAGTCTTTACTATTGGTGAAATGCTTAAGCTGTGTGTTGTTGTTGAGATATTTGAGACTGCAGAAATTGTAATGATAGGTAAGAAATTTGGTCACACCTGTATCTTCACTCTGTTGAGAAGCCCCTTATAAATGAGGAGTGCTTCTCTTAGCTATGCTTGATGTAAAGAGTTCCCCTTACTGACATCCAAAGATCTTGTATTTCACTAACAATCTGATTCCTCACCATGTAAAACAGGGTGCTGCAGAAATATTCCCAAGCGTGAGGGGAAAAAGTAGCTGGTTACAACTATGTGAGCTTTCTATTGAGAACGGACATTTCTAGCAGTATATGTGACTTAAGCAAACCTGTTACACTTACATCTGCAGAAGATGAACGGTTGCTGAAGGGCCAAATCCATCACCAGTGTTGCCTGGCCTAGCAAAGTGAAACATTGCTCATGCACTTCCCTTTGTACTCAGTTGGGCCTTTTAAAAGGAAGCAGTCGTCCAGTGGCAAATCAGCATTCCTCTCAGCTGCTGGCAGCTGAAAGATGTATGATCGTACAGTGCAGGAAAAATTCCCATTGGAGACAGCTTTGGATTGCTCTCTCCCCTGAACCCTGGGAAAGATTAGAAAGAAGGAGGTCTGGTGCAGAAATCTGCATTGAATTTTCTATATGCTGCTTTGAGGGGGCAGGGTCTGCTTTACCACTGAAATGGCAGTGAATCTGTCCCAACCACTTCTAAGTGTAGTGGAATGCCCTTTGGAGCTGTTCTGGCATAGCTACCTGTTTAGGTCAGCCTGGTTTCCCTGCAGTTTTGTTGAGACCTTCCTCAAATGTTGTATTTGACTTGTCCCAAAGGGCTTCTTGGGAAGCGAAGTTTTGTTACAGAGTCTTAGGTTACATTAGCAACCTTCGGGCTTTTCCACTGGTACCTGGTGGCAGCAGAAATTGATTCAGACTAGACCCAGTCTATTCTGGCTCCTGGGAGCTCTCCTTCCATGTGTCTCATCTTTTTCCTTAAGTTTATGATGTGCATGTAGCTTGTGATTTTTAGGAGATGGAAGTGAGATGGGTGAGTGATGACACTTTTTTTTTTTTTTTTTTTTTTTTTACAGACTTTCTCTGCATGAGGTAGTTGTATTTTTTTATGTAGTAAATATACTCATAATTCCCAAAGCTGGAACCAAAACAACTGTAGGCATTTTGGCTGTTTATAGAGGTCAACCTCTTGATCACAATGCACAGCTGCATTTTTGGCACCAAAAGGGTTAATCTAGCCAATGTTTGATATTAGATGCACAGGCATCAAAAGGGTTAAGGAAAGGGCCTTCGGGCAGTAAATGTTGAAAGATTATCCTAATTTTATTAGCGGCAAATGTCTATGTTGTTCTTAACATGTCACCTCACTTGTTCAACAGAAAACTAAGCTATATAACATATTGATCATCTAACAAACCTAAGTACTAGTGACCTGTAATCTACCAAGCATTTATTGACTTTATCCTGGTTCAGATCCACAAATGCAGATCAATGCCATCTAACACCATTTTAGAGATCAGTAATTATGTAGCAGGTCTGATTCTTTTTTCCTCCTGTCCTGGAAAGAGAGAGTTAAATAGACCAATAATAAAATAAAGTACTCTAAACATCTTACAAAGGAGAAAAAGGAGAAGCTGATTTAATGGTCTAATGAGGCCATCTTCCAGAGACTTGTTTTGTGTAGGGCTTGCTTTGACCTTTCGCTTTGCTCAGGAGCCCAACGCTTCATTTTTCACATTCTTGCAATTACGTTAACGCTTCAAGCATTTCTGACTCCAAGTCAGCTAGCAACACCAGGCATAACTCAACACTGTGAGTTTTTCTCCTCTCTGTAGATTCATTAACAGGTCACTGGGGTCCCAACTGAAATTTAAAACTGACTGGTTCTGTTGGGTTAGCTGAGTTATAGCAAGGGAGATGGCAGGAAAGGGGCTAAGAGAAGGGGAGAAGAGAGAGAAGACCCTTGGGTTTCTGTTGGGGAATACATGTGTGAAAACCCTAAGCAGAAGATTAAAAGGTGTGTGCAGCTTTATCATCCACCCTTTTATTTGGAGGGGAAGAAAACAGATCTGAAAGTCTTTCAGGGTGTTTTCTGGATTCTTTGGAGACAATTTTTTTTTTTTTTTTTTTTTAAAGCCACTGTCTTCACACACAAGGATAAATGACTTCTAGAGTTGTGCATCAGTTTGTACTACAGTGATGGATATGATGCTCCCACACTTTAATTCCTATTTAATCTCTTTATGAGATATTTCAAATAATGAATATGGCAGATTATGCATGGAAAGTGAGAAATAAATCTTTTGAAGGTTTAAAAACATGTGATCTACGGGAAAGCACCAGGGAACAGTTTCAGTTTTGTATTTTATTATACCAGGATTTTATACCTCATTTGTCACATTCTTAGTTTAGTCAATGAAAGGGCCTGATCCAGAGAAGTCAGATGAGAGGCTGTAGTTTTTCAGGACCTTTTGGGAAGTTCAGTGCCTTTTAGGATTAGGCCTGGGGTGATAAAATTGTCTTCTTACGGTCAAGGAGTTGTTTCTAGGTTTTGCAGAAGTAAAGGTAATAAATGGGCATCAACTTCAGTTTGCCTTATTCATTTGACGGCTTGGTTGTGTATTGTGGCTGCTTGTGCTGAAGGAAGAGGATGTGTCCCTCTGTATCTGAGGGTTACTCTCTAGGGCAATATCTTCAAGTAATTTTGAAAAATTGTTGTCCATGTTTCTGTGGCGAAGACTCAACATGTGGTCCTGGGCTAAGTCAACTGTTAGCTGATGTTAACTAAAATCATGTGTGTTGATCCTAGATTACACCTCTGGGTTGATGCAGGTTTGAAACATCAGGCAGCGTCGCTTTTAAATATCATCGTGCAATGAACAAATTTGTTTGTGAAAGTAGCTGATAGGCCTTTGGGCACTGTCTTTTTACTGAAACCACATAAAGCTTTGGACCAAGCTCTGATAGGGGAAAAAAAAAAAAACACAGGGATAGTAGTAACGATAATGAACAAATAATAATTTTAATAATAAAAAATTTTGTTCATGCCAAGTCTTCAAAGCTTAATATCCAAAGACAAATGCTGCAACTTTTTTTCCCCCTAGCACTGTGCATGTAAGTGAGCCTGCTGAGGCTAACTAGCATACGTGTTCCTTGTAAGGATTCAGAATATGTGTTTATTTCTTTTTATTTTTACACGTAAAGCTATAAAATTTAGTTTTACTGGAAAAGAGTTGTCTTTTTGTAAGAAAGAAATTTCCTGATAGAAAAGCCCAAATATCCAGATGTGAAAAATTAAACTTCCTAATAAATAATGCTCCACTGGAGAGGCATTATTTCATAAGGCACAGCTCTCATGAAGGTGAACTGTCTGAAGTATGAAAAACTCCTAAGGAACAATGACTTTTTTCAGCAGGGGAAGATACAGGAAGAGAGTAGCCCTTATTAATTCATCTTTTCCTTTCAAGTTTGAGGGGCCTGTCCTTGTGTTGATATGTATGAGTAATTC